TTGCCGCTCTGCAAATAGTGAAGGCCAATATCAAAATATTCCTCTACAGGCAATCGGAGGTTCACATCTTATGGACAAAAAGAGAGTTGAAACTAGACTTAGGATTGACAAGACTTTGTTGGCTAACAGATTAGACAATTTCAATCAAATAAATAAGCTAAGCCGCGAAAAAAGTATTCAACACCACATCATAAATCGATTGCAAGTCTGTGCAGAAACATGTACAAAACATGCTAACATAAAGTGATGCTATTGCAAATTACTGCTTTCCAAACTGAAAACCTACTAGTGGTCAAGTTGACGGATCAAATAAAAAGCGCTTATAAACTAAAGCATTTCTGTGATTGTCTTTTGCAAAAGTTTTCTATTTAAAGATTGAGTGTGTAATCCAGGCCTCAGCGGGAGGTCTCCGGAGAGCAAGCTGGAATTCGTTTGTGTGCAAAAAGCAAAGGGTTATCGTAGGGATCCGGGGTGAAGCCTCGGAAAAATCCGAGAAATTATAAGCGCGATGCTCGAATACCTTGAGGGTCAAAGTTTACCGTACTAATACCCCTAAGTTTCTCTGCAGGCAAAGGTGGCAATCCTTTTGGGCATCCTGCCACGTCGTTGTTGAAGAAATGGAAGAATTTGCATAAGATTTTTACCATATGCCAAGTCATGTTGAAAGAATGAAATTCAGATTACCTACCATCTCAGTTTTGCTGTTATGCTCATCTTCCATGATAAATATCAGTGTTGATGAACCTCATCTACTAGCAGCATACAAGCATACGGCCTTAAATGTATAGTTTTCCCCTTTACACAGCTCCTAGTAATTCAATACATACTTGACTATCTCTCGCAAACCTGCCCGAAGAAGGTTCAAGATTGTTGCAGAGAGGGCGTTTGCGCGGGAAATTTAAGCAACATTTTGGAAATCATTCAAGTTTTCTAAGCGAATAGGCGATGAACAGTCACCAAAATTGGATGTGAGACGCGCAACAAAGACTAAAAGATTTATTTGAAAAATTTTTGAGAAATTATGAGAATAAAAAATTGTCGGACTTTTTTAGGTCTTCAC